CGGGGTCCCCCCTAAAGCTGTTTTGTCCAACCTTGGCCCTTTAAGGTTGATTGGACTTCAACCCCCATGCTGGCTGGGGAAGCATGGGAGTTGAAGTCCACTCATCTTAAAGTGGCCAAGTTTGGACAACACTGCTTTAGGGGGTACCCTGTTGGGGAAGGCTGCATGATAAGACCTAACTACATTATATCTTAGGAACTCATGTACATGATGGACAACTCTGCAGGTAGAACGTAAAAAGGAGAGTTCAGTACATAAAGTGTGCATGGGAAATTAATCATCAAGTACTTTAATGAAAAAAGAATCTCCTTTTGGAAATTCAGTACTTCACTGATAGTCATATTATTGAAAGTATACATTTTTGTGCTCTTACATTGAAAGTATACATTTTTGTGCTCTTACATATAGAAAATGCATCCTCCTTATATGGGACGAGGCCTACTTTGTGTTAGCCGAGTTAAATCAGAATAATACATCTAAACCTGAGTACAAGCGAGAGATTTGATGTTAAGATATATCTGGGGAGTTCTAAAGACAATTTTCTTTCCCCCTCCCCCTCCGTATGTTATGCTATATTATCACCTTTAGCATGTTACAAGATAAAGTAACTCCTGTACAAGTTTTTGCTCAGAGGTCATGAATATTCTTAAGTAGGAAAAAAAGTTGATTATTTGGTGGTTTTTCACAATCATGAGTAATTATGTCATTGAACCACGTACAATAAGTCTTTTTATGGGCCCCTTCAGATAAACAGGAAGGCTTTTTTTTTTAAAGCCATCATGACGGAGGCTTTTTCTGGTGCTTTTATTGCCCAATTTATCAAAAGATAAAATGCAGCCAACTAAATAGGGAAAATGTAATGGTAGCATTCTTTTTCCTTATGAAAACTTCTGTTGAGGTTAAATTTATACTTCAGTACATTCTCTTCATTTTTCTCAGATGTTGACAGTAATACTTAGTTAAGATGGTTTGCCAAAGTGGATCTGGTGCTGCTGCGTTTCATTTTCTTTCTTACTTGTTTTGTGGAGTGCGGGGCCAACTCCAAAGCTCAAAAATATGTGTTGCAGTGTCCTTTGCAATAGGACAAAATATTTGGGAAAAGTTTTTTTTTTGCTGCCGTTCTTTGATCCTCTGTAGTTGTAAAAGAACTCATTGGCTCTTGAAGAACTGAATGATTTGGGGGAATTTTGCAGCCAATCCCACATTTTATTCTGTAGCACAGTTTTGTTTTGCAACATGGCTAGGGTTATTTCAGCAGTAGGTCCCTTTCTTTGCATGACACAAATGCCTTGAGAATTAGCACGAATAGGGTAAAATTGGTTAGAAGTTAGGTTGGCCACAATATTGCTGGCCTTTAAGAAGTCGTTGAAGACATGGCTGTGCCATCAGGCCTGGGGGTCCCATGGATGTGGAGAGCCTGCAAGATGGTTATATTGTCTGTGAGTTGTAGGTTGGCACTTTCCCACGTTTTTCTGTTTTGGTTAATTGCTTTTATTTATTTATTTATATGAATTTGACATTGTTTTTTTAACTTGTGAGCCACCCAGAGTCACTTAAGTGAGATGGGCATTTATATAAATTGAAATAAACTAGTTACAAGGTTTGTGTGATCATTCATAACAATTATAATAATGAATCTTTTGTCCAGATTTGTGTGTGTGAGATACAAACCTTACCATCCCTGAATACGAATTATTCTGACTGCAGTTTATCAGATTTATATTCTAGATCTGAAGGGCTGCAGTTTGGCTGTTCTTGATCTACTGTATGTTCTAAAACTATGCTAGCCATATTATAAGAATAACTGCTCTCTCTGCCTGAGATCCTCTCTGTCCTTTAACTTCTGTCCTAGGTCTTATTTCCATGGAGTTTAATGGGATAGATTAAGGTTGGGTGTACCATTTGGCAGATTGCTTAAGTCAGAAAACATCCTGTGGTTCTTGACTGTGAGTTGGTGAATTCATGTAAAGTTTTGCTTCCTGTGGGCAAAGTGTCATGAAAGCAAGTGAGGGATACAGGATTCAAGTCAAGGATGCACAACCTTTTCAGTGCTGGGATTTGAACTTATCCTTTGAGTAGCATATTGGAAACCCTACTATAAAACTAGTGGGTAAGCAAGAAGGAAAGCGAAATTTAGTTTCATTTAATATTATTTTATTAAAATTAAATATGTGTAGTGATTCCTCTCAAATGCTATCATGCATTTAATAATATTTTCCCTGAAATATTGCACTTCAGTAACAGCTTGATAGCAACTACACCCATGACATTTGTGGAGTCTCAGGTTGTGTACCTCTGGCTTAAGTGCTCGTTATGGTGATGCCAATTTAATAGTGGGTCACTATGGCTAAGATTTGAACATTAATGCCTCTCATAGTTTACCTCAGTCCAGGATAGAAAAAAACAGAAATGGACCAATGACAGTTGTCTGTTATCTCTATGTTTGGGATTTGGTAATTAAAAAAAAAATTGGCTGAAAAGTAAAATCTCAATAATGCAAGTTTATCCTTTAAATGAATTTTTTTTCCATGTTGATAGTAATCAGGAAAGTATTATTGGAAACAGCATTGCTTATATCCCTTAGAACAAGGTTTCCCAAACTGTGAGGTGTACCTCCCTTGGGGAGGTGCAGACAGAGTCCAGGGGAGGTGTGAAGAACCTTTTAATTGTACATTGTTACAATAAATCCACCTTTTCCAAAATTTCATTGTATTGTTTTCATTAATCATTTGTGTTCATTTTGGTGTTTGGATTTTTAGGGGAGGTACAGGTAGTCCTTGTCTAACATCCACAGTTGGGGCCACAATTTCTGTTGCCAAGCAATGCGGTTGTTAGGTGAAACATCACGTGACTACATCACTTAGCGACCGCAATCCCGGCAGTCCTGGGTACCATCGTTAAGTGAATGCCCTGGTCGTTAGGCGAGGCAACTTCCTGCTGGCTTCCCACAATCAAGTCAGTGGGGAAGCTGATAGGAAGTTTCAAGCCCCCGGCTCTGCCAGGGGGGGGAGGCTTGGCTGGAAATCCTGCTTGGATTTCAGCATGAAGCTTTTCAGGCAGCCCCCAAAGCTC